CTCAGCGAGCAGGGAGCCTGCTTCTCCCTTTCCCCCTGCCTGCCTCTCTGCCTACTTGTTCTCTCTCTCTGTCAAATAAATAAATAAAATCTTTAAAAAAAAAATAAAAAACTGAAAAAAATAAATGATCATCTACATTAAGCTCTTACACAGGGACTGGCACATAGGAGATGTTAAGAAATGCGGTTCCCCAACTGTGCCCCAAGGTGCCCCAGGGTGCCACAGTGAAATACCTCACAGGGGCACATGGGATAGTTTAGATTTTAAATTTTGGAGGGCAACACCACAGAAACTCCTACTGTTCCGTTGTACTCAACTACGTACATGGAACTGGGGTGGGTTTTGTTATTGTTTGGGTTTTTTTGGTTTGGTTGGATTTTTTTTTTTCATTTTTTTTTTTTTGTTTGGCATAGGGGACCCATGAAAATAATACCGAAACTCTAAAAGCACCAGGAAATGAGAAAGTTTGGGGATCTTTCCTTGTTCCATGTCCAGTGTTGGGTGCTGGCATTCCATTGGCTACAAAAAAAATAAGAAGGGGAGAGAGAAGGGGAGGAAGGACAAAGCAGGCAGAGGGAACAGTGCAAGCAAAGGCCTGGAGAAAAGAGAAGATCAGGATGTGTTGGGGGACTGCAAGATGCCGAGGATGAACAGAGGGTGGAGGGCAAGGAGGGAGTGAGCTGACCCTGCAGAAGCCTGCAACCTTGGCCATGGATTTCTCCTGAGCACAATGGATAGCTGTGGAAGGGTTTCGAGCAGGGTCAGATTTATGTTTTGGAAAGACAGCCCAACTGTAGTGTGGAAAATAGATCGGAAGAGAGGTATCACCAGAGGACAGAGACATCCAATCAACAATGAGAAGCACAGATTATCCATGGAGCACCTACTGTGGACCAGGCACTGCTCTATGGCCATGAATGAGCCCAACAAGGAACCTCTCTCCTGGAGCTGGACAATAAGTACAGAAACAAGATAAATGGAAGGATACCTGCTGTGACAAAAAACCTAACTGGATTGATCCAATGGAGAGCAATGGAGGGTGGAGGGCTTTTTCGGACAGAGTGATGATGGAGGGTCTCCTGAGGAGGTGACCTCTGAGCTGAGGCCCAAGGGGTGAGAAGAAACCCACCATGGGAAGATCTGGGGGTTCTAGGAAGAGGAAACCGCAAGTGCAAAGGCCCTGAGACAGGAACGAGCTTGGCATATTTGGGGAAGAGGAAAAAGGCCACATGGCGTCCATGGCAAGGGAGCAAGGTAGGAGGCGAGATGGGAGAGGCGGCAGGAGACAGAGCACATCCAATTTCATAGGCCATTATGGGGACTCTGGACTTTATTCCTGATGTTGTGGGAAGCAAGAAGCTGTGTGACCAGGTTTTGAAAGGCCTGTCTGGGTGCTGGGTCGGGAATGGGCTGTGGAGGCCCCAGCGAGGAGGCTGCCGCCTGAAGCCCTGGTGGGAGAGAGGGGTGACGGCCGCCTGGACGGGGTGAGAGCAGGAGAGCTGGGAGAAGGAAAGGCTGGGGATGGACTCCAGGCCCCCTGGCTCTGGGCCTGCTGCCCCTTCTGCTGCGCCCCACGGCCAGCAAGCTTGTCTCCCCAGAGCAACTGAAAGAACCTCAGAGAAGCGCTGACATCTTAAAGTGATGGCTTTGTCCCTAACAGGTCAGTGGACCAATAACAACAGGCCTAACCCTCAAGTCTACATCAAGCTAATCCAAGAGTGCCAGGACCTGGGCAGAGAGGGGGAGTTCTCCACCTGCTTCACAGAGCTGCAGCGGGACTTCCTGAGGCAGCGTCCAACCAAGGTGAAGAGCCTCATCCGTCTGGTCAAGGACTGGTACCAAAAGGTATGTTCCTCCTGCTTGGGGAGCAGAGGAGGGGGGTAGAGAAGGAAGGGGGGAGGGTTACAGAATAGAGGGAGGGAAGGAGAAGAGAGAGGTGTGGAGAGGGGAGGAGGAGGAGGGGAGGGAGGGAGGGGAAAGGAGAAGGATGAGGTGGCAGGAAGGGGAGAGGAAAGGGAGGGGGGAGGGGATGTGTGGGGAAGGAGAGAAGGAAGAGAATGGGTGCGGAGATGAGGGGGAGGATGAGAAGGGGAGGCGCAGGGCCTAGGACAGGTACCAGTGGACCCGGGGTGCCTCCTTCCTCCTGGTCCTTCCCATCTTAGGAAATGACAAGCCCATATGGGCTTCTAGCCACTCTGGCCTAAACCGTGGGTCTTCCTGGACTGTTTCACACTCACTCGTCTATCCCACCAGTCTACAAATGATGTTGGTCCTGTATTGAAAATATAACCAATTGTCACCCCTCTATCACTCTCACCCTGGTCCCAGTCATCTCATGAGGCTCCCAGGATCTGCCCTGGACCTCTCCGAACCCACCCCCCACCCCCCCGCCCTTCAGGCCGTGCTGTCTTCCTTTTATTTCCTCCAAGGGGGAAACTCTGCTCCAGCCTGTGGGATAGTGTATCTCCCCACTAAAAATGTGCATGAAGGAAGGGATGTGTGTGTTTTATTCACCGCTGTATCTCCGGAACCTAGAACAATGCCTGGCACATAATAGATGCTCAGTAAGGAATTGTTGAATAAATTAATGAATGCTATAACCACACACACACACACACACACACACACACACACAGACTTCTGTGCACTTCCTGGCTGTCTGACCCTGAACAGGTCTGACTTAACTCCCTCTGGCTTCTGTTTTCTCGTTTGCAAAGAGGAACATGGCATAGCAAGAGTAAACACAGAACATGGTGCCTGGCACAGCTGGTCCTAATAAATGTGGTTTCTTGGAGCCATGCCAGGAGCACACAGAATAAAAGTTCCCATGTATCATGTGCTTTGTTTGTGCCAGGCTCATCATAGTTCCTCTTTTGTGGATGTGATATGCATTTCTGCTTACTCAAATAGCCTATATCTTATTTCATCTTTATGGTGAGTCTGTGTGCTGAGTAAGGGTAAGTGTTCCTCTCAAACCTGTATTAGAGAAAGAGGATAAGAGTCAGAACGCTCTTCCAGCTAATAAGTAGCAGAACAAAAACTTGAAATTTGGGCCTTCCGACTTAAGACTTTGCCTAATATATAATATTCATTTTATAATATACATGTATGTTTTTGGATGAATGAGTAGAAGAAAGTAATTAAGGATAAACCTTCCTACTTTAAAAATAATCTTTAAGGGACACCTGGGTGGCTCAGTCAGGTAAGCATCTGCCTTCGGCTCAGGGCATGATCCCAGGGTCCAGGGATGGAGCCCCATGTCAGGCTCCCTGCTCAGCGGGGAGTCTGCTTCTCTCCCTCTCCTTCTGCCTCTCTCCCCCGCTCCTGCTCTCTCTCATGCTCACTATCTCTCCCTCTCTCTCAAATAAATAAATAAATAAAATCTTAAAAAATAAAAATTACCTTTAAGGCAAAGCAAGACAATCCTTTATTTGCTAGACATCTTAGTTTGCTGTTGAAGGAAATTTGATCATGGAGCCTGAACATCTTAGGACTTACCAAAGTGGTTCTTGACAAGTGTAACACTGCCCCCAAGGATACTGAAAATTCATGAGGACATTTTTGGTAACCATGGTGATAGGGGGCAAGGATGCTCCTGACAAAGAAAGAAGCCAGGAATAGTAGTTGTTTTACAATGAGCAAGATAGTCCTGCACGACAAGGAATTGTCTCTTTCCCTCCCTTCCTGCCCCTCCTCCCTCTCTCTTCTTTCCCATAAAACAATACAGGAATCTCACAATACTTTAACTCCACTCACCACCACCATCACTACCTGCAACTTACATGCCACTTTGTTGTGTGTTTCAAGTCTCTATATTTTCAAAGGCCGCAAAGCATTACTATTATTTTCCATACCCAGAGCTCATTTTATCTATCCACGTGTTTACCACATTCTTCACCATCAACTCTTTCCTACATCTCTAACCTTCCTCCTGGGATCATGTTCCTTCTTCCTGAAGTATGTCCTGGAAGATTTTTTTGCTGACGGTCTTCTGATAATGAACTCTTAGTTTTTGTTTGCCTGAAAATGTCTTGATTTTACCTTCATTGTTGAAGGGTATTTTTGCTGGGTTGGCGGTGATTTCACTACACGGAAATATATCACTCCATCTTCCAGGGTCACTGGTGAGAAGTCAGTTGTCAGTCTAACTGTGGCTCCTTTGTAGGTAATCTGTCTTATTCCTCTGGCTGCATTTATATTTTTCTCTTTGTCTTTGATTTTGTTCCATTTCAATCTGAGGTGTCTTTTTTTTTTAAAGGTTTTATTTATTTATTTGACAGAGAGCTAGAGCCAGAGAGCACAAGCTGGGGGTGGGGAATGGCAGAGGGGGAGGAAGAAGCAGGGTCCCCGCTGAGCAGGGAGCCCGATGTGGGGCAAGATTCCATGACCCCAGGACCACGACCCAATCCAAAGGCAGATGCTCAACCAACTGAGCCACCCAGGTTCCCCTCAATCTGAAGTGTCTTAATGATGATTCCTTTTTCACTTGTCCTGCTTGGAGTTCACTGGGTCCCTCACTGGGATTCCTGAATCTGTGAATGGGTATCTTTCATCAGTTTTGGAAACTCTCAGCCATTCTCCTAAAACATTGTCTCTCTCTCTCTTCCTCACCTCCTGGACTCCAATTAAATGTATGTTAGACCTCACTCTATCTTCCATTATCTTTACACTCTCTTCCACATTTTCCATCTTTCTGTCTCCCAATGTTTTATTCTGAATAGTTTGTTCTAACATACTCTCTAATTCACTAATTTCTCCTTTAACTGTGTCTAATTTGCAGTTGAGTTATTAATTAGAGTTATTGTAAATTTTGTTCAACATTTTCTATTTTATTCTTTTTTCAAATATGCTAAGTTACTTCTTATGGCTTCTAATTTCCTCTAGTTCAAGCTCTTCTTTTATTTCTGTAAACAGAATGTTTCTAGTTATTTTAAAGTCTCTATATGATCCTTCAATATTTAAAGTTTTGTGGACTTATTACTATTGTCCCCCCCGCCTTTTTTTTTTTTTTTTTTTTTGCTGGTTATTACTCTTGGTATCTTGTTTCCTTGTGTGCCTGGTTATTTATGTGCTGGTCATGGTACTTGAAATTTCCTTGTGAAATCACTTGAGGCTTTGGGTTTTATATCTTACTCCAAAGGGAATTTTGTTTGGCTCTTAGGAATGCTACAAGTTCTTCCTCTCAGTTAATTTTCACAGTATCCTTATAAGTTTGGTGCGACTATGACCACTCACTTGGCAGGTGAGAAAAATGAGGCTCCGAGAGTCCAAGTTGTCTTCCAGGAATTGGACACCAGTGGAGCCAGGACTCAAACCCACATCACTCAGAATCCAGAGCCCAAGCTCTTGACCCAGGAGTCAGTAAACCTTTTTCCATAATGCCCTAGGTAGTAAGTATTTTAGACCTTGTGGGCCACATGGTCTCTGTCACAACTACTCAACTCTGTAGCATGAAAGCAGCCATTAGACTCCATGGGAATGAATGGGCGTGGATTTGCTCCACGGAAGTGTTATTTACAAAAGCAGATGGCAGGCTGGATTTGGCCTTTGGGAAATGTGCTTTATGCCCCAGCTGGACAAGTGCACGTTTCTGATTCTTTTTGCTCCTCTCAGTGTAAGAAGCAGCTTGGGAAGCCCCTGCCACAGCTGTATGCCTTGGAGCTCCTGACAGTCTATGCCTGGGAGCATGGCAGCAAGCAAACGGAGTTCAGCACAGCTCAGGGATTTCAGACCGTCTTGAGATTAGTCCTGAACTACCAGCAGCTTTGCATCTACTGGACAAAGTATTACAACTTTGAAAACCCGATTATTGGACAATACCTGAAGAGGCAGCTTGCAAAACCCAGGTACTCTCTCTCCACATGGGTTAGCTCCCCACGTGAATGAGCCCCTAGATACAGATGTGGCATCTTGGCAATGAGGGCCCCTCATTTGCTGGTCCTCTTCTATGACCAGCCATTGTGCTAAGCCTTTTCCTGCTGCCATCTGATTTAAACCTCCAACCCTGTGAGGCAGGCCCTCCGTAGCCACTGTACAGATGGGTAAACTGAGGTTCTGAGGGGTAAGGAGCTTGTCTTACCTTAACAGAAAATGAGCGGAAGAGCCAAAATTTGAACTAAAATAACAACAGCTAGAGAAAGAATCATAATCGCTCCCGGGGATTAAGAGCTTGCTATAAGAATAGCGCCCCACTTCTGCCCTGAGTCCCAGCCTGCCAGGCTGGTGGTTTGCCCTGCCGGGAGCATCTGGATCCACCAGACACAGCCCTGGTTCCTCACCCATCCCTCTCTCACTGTTACCCTCCAGGCCTGTGATTCTGGACCCAGCTGACCCGACGGGAAACGTGGCTGCTGGAGACCCAAACGGCTGGCGGCGACTGGCAGACGAGGCCAGGGCCTGGCTGAGTTACCCATGCTTTAAGAAAGGGGATGGGTCTCCAGTGGGCTTCTGGGACATGCCAGTGAGACTGTCTGCTTCCACCCTGTCGTCCTTCCCCACATACCTTCTATATAGCGTGGGGCATGTAAGACTAATGCTTTCTAACATACTAGTAAATAATTATGGTCATTATCTGATGTGTACTAACCACTTATTATGTTCCAAGTCCGGTGCGGAGCATTTCACATGTTTTGTCTCGTCTCCAACCTCCCATCATGTCCTTTGAGACAGGCCTGTCCTACCCTCCCCGTGTCACGGGTGAGGAAGCAGGCCTAAAGAGGTCAAGTGACCTCCATCCTCTCCAAAGAAACATTCTCTCCAAAGAAATTGCTCCTTGCTAGAAGTCACATATTCATAGAGTCTCAGGCTATGCTCCATATTTTCAGTCATCTTGGGCCCATTCAGAGGGTTCCTGGGATTTGCACATCCCTTGTCCAGACTTCATTCTTCAGTTAACATGACCCTGGCCAGAGGCAACTCTTTCCACGGCCCCAGCGGGCTCATTCCTCTATGAATAATAATAAATAATGATAGCCACCTCTTACTGAATATTTGCTTCGGGCTCAGGTTCTATCCTAAATGCTCCATTATTTCATTAAATCATCACAACACCCTTTGAGGTGTGTTTGCTACTCCCAGTCTTACATACGAGAAAAGGAGGCTCAGAGAGGTGAAGTCACCTGCTCAAGGACATTTATCTAGGGAGTCGTAGAGCTGGGATCTGAAGTTGGGGACTCCAATGCCAGTGCTCAGCCCTCCCTGGGCCACACTTGCTATGTGGGCACAGGGAGAAGTCCAGCCGGGGAGGAGCCCAGTGACAATCTCAGCCCAGCCCTCTGGAGCTCCAATGGCCTTCAGAGTTGCCCTGCCCCACTCTGGGGTGGTGAGGCCTTTAGACCCCCACACAGATCCATCACTGAATATGGGCAACTCAGGAAGGGGCATAACCTTGAACGTGGGGCTCTCTGTAGTCAAGGCAAGCCTAAAGGGGCTGACTGTGGACATCTGTCTGCTGACCCCCTCCCCAGCAGCTGAGACTTCTTTGTCCTTCCTCAAGGGGAACCAGGGGGCATGTCACACAGTATCCACCATAAATGCTCACAGAGACCCAGTGCCAAGGTGGAAGGATCCGTTCTCTGATGTGATCATGTGCTTTTCCCTTTCAGCTTGAAGAAGACGATGAGGATAATCGGGTAACTTGTGAACACAGGATGTATCAGTCCCAGGATTATGGATGGCGCCCTTTATCTGCCGGGAGCCTCAGCACAGGCATGACACCACCCACTGCCCGGAAGGAAGATGACTGGACGTGTGCCATCCTATGAACGCCAAGGGGCCTTAGGGGGAAGGGCTCCAGAATCATCCAGGCCAGCCCCCTCAGTTCAGGGGTTGGGGGAGGTCCCTTGATCCAGAGGGCAGAAGACGGCCCCAATCCCAACAGTGAGTTGGTGTCAGACCTCAGACTGGAATCCAGGTCTCCTGACCCCCACCCTTCCCCTGTTCTATGCTCTTTCCCCTCTCATAGCTACCGTTTCCCTACGGCCCCACCCTGGCCCAGCCTGTTCTCTGACAGTCATCTCTGAGAGGCAACCAGAGAGCCTTAACTTTCTTCTGTATTCCTGGCGGGTGGCTTATAGTCCAATATATCATCAATAACAATAAAAAGAATAGCAAATACCATGTGTTGGGTATTTATTAACTGCAAGTCCCAGAGCCAAGAGGTATATATATCTGCGTGTTATATGTGTGTATATATGAATCGATTCAACTAGAAATATGTATTGAGTACCTACTGTGTTCCAAGCATTGTTCTGGACGCTGGGAGCACAGCAGTGAATGAAACAGACCGAAATCCCTGCCTCCTGGTCTGACATTTGCATGCACTGACTTTTAATATTGGATCATTTGGGATCCTTCTAACTTTCAGAAGGATCTAAGACCAGCATCTTTGTGGTGGGTGGGGGGAGAGGAGCAGCAGGCAGAGGGAGAAGCAGACTCCCTGAGCAGGGAGCCCGATGCGGGGCTCGATCCCAGGACCCTGAGATCATGACCTGAGCTGAAAGCAGATGCTTAATCCACTGAGCCACCCAGGTGCCCCAAGAATGTCACATTCTTGACAACTGATCTTTTTTTTTTTTTTAAGATTTTATTTATTTATTTGACAGAGAGAGACACAGC